TTTTTTTTTTTTTTTTTTTTTGGTTCGCATCTCTCGATTCCTCGCTCGCACGACCACCCTGAGGGACTACTCGCAGTCTAATGTGATTAAAGCGTTCTAAATCAACATCCACCATGATTACGTTTCCTAAATCCTTTTTTTTTTCAGTGAATTCGAGTTCGTTCTTGGTGAAGGACAAGTAATCGCCGGTTGGGATCTGGGTCTGCGCGACATGTGCGTCGGAGAGCTCCGTGAACTCGTTGTTCCGCATCAGTACGGATATGGGGAATTCCCCGTGGGAGATAAAATTCCCCCTAGAGCACTTCTTGTGTTCTATGTGGAGCTGCTTAGAATAGGCGATCCGAGTGAGGACATGGCTAAACCCAACATGTTTAAAGAAATTGATGTCAACGGAGATGGCATGATTTCACACTCAGAGGTAGGACGAAAAATACCGTCGACTGCCGCTTAACCCTTTAAACCCTAAGATCAAAGTTTGAATTGTCATTTGTTGCCTGTATTCGTTCCTACTGAGGTAGTGGGGAGAAGCTGGAAAAATATCGAGCTAATGCATCTTGTGTGATTATGTCCGTAATTCTCATGACCACTCTGTTTTACAAAGCATTAATAGTACGAGGAGAAAGTTGATGCTGATCACTCTTAGGGGCTTAAAGGGTTAAAATCCCTGGGCTTATACATCTTCGTAAGAGGTTTAAGGGCTTATATTCGAGGAGGCTTTCAACAGCACTAAAAAAAAACGCTTCTAAACAAGTCACCCGGGCAGTGATGATTCAACTACGTTTTGCATTTACTGTTTCTTAATTAGGCTTCAAAATGTCATAATAAATCAATTTCATTACAATACAATCTACATACGTACATGCATTTTTTTAATTGTGTTTTGAGGTAGAAGTACAATTATCGTTTAGTGTCGAGTCAGTAGTCTCTTGTCATTACTGTTGTCATCTATTACTAGTAATACCGTTAGGTTATCAGTAGGTCTCTAGTCACTGTTGTCAATTTTACTTTCTTTAGTTCTCTTGTTACTTTTGTATTTAGTTGTTTTTATTTCCTCTCATCATGACCCGCCTAGATTAGCTAAGCTACCCGCGGGCATTTTATAATTGTACAATCTAGCAGGGAGGTTATATCTGGGGGGCGGGGAGGGGGGGGGGCTTAAGCTTAAAATCGGATGTATTTTTTACTTTAAAGTAGATGGTAAGACTGGCATATACCTGGGGTGAAACTAATAAGGGGGAGGGGATATAAACTGCAGTTTACGCCAGTAAAGTTCACGTTGTGAACTTCGTGTCATAATCTCTTATCTTGGTCGACTCTTTTAGCTTCACTAACTTTCCCGCGAATTGATCTGACTAAAATTCAGTTGGGTGGTTGAGTATTAACAGCACCGATAAGACTATTATTATGGAGAATCTGATAGGTTGATCTCATATGCAGAGTTTATGGCCTGGTCAAAGGCTGGAAAATATTATTCCTTACCAATATCTCTCGCTAATTATACCTAGAACGAAATGAAATTTTCCCCGAATTTAAATCGTGATGAGTTCTTGTGCCTTAACGCATAATTATGGTCACGTAACATGTCACGTGAGTAACTGAAGCAATATTTATACTATTAAAATGTTGCATGTTGATAAGGTCTGTCTGTGTCCCAAATCTCGATTCGGTACCATCCTCTTCGCTAAATTTAGACGATAAATAATTTTTCCTTGGTAATCCTTTTACATCCAGGCCTTAAATTACTTGAGATTGAATTGTTCCCAGGTAATGCAGTTGTGGATAAAACTGCAAATAAAACTCACAAGAACGGTTTTGCGCTTGCCCTTGGCCCCGCTTTTAAAATGAGAGGAATGGATTAATATTACTGTTTTATATCACAGGTTGCAGGTTACCTCAGACGAGAGGGACTTTCAAATGGTGAAGGGGATGAAAGCCATGACAACCTCATGCAGGAAATCTTCCATGAAGAAGACAAAAATAAAGATGGCTACATTTCACACGACGAATTCCAGGGATTAAAACATGGAGAGTTATAAAACAGTTTAACCACATTATTTTAATTTATAGGTACCTGTAATTTACATCAATAGAAAGAAAAACAAATTTGAATTAAACAGTAGGAATCATGTTTGTTTCATTTTCCTTAGGGCGCTTGAATTTTAAGGTAGTTTTTTTCCAGTTTTTGCACCTTATTTCTAAAGTCTGGAATTTTATTGCAATAGCTGAATGAATTTTAATGAAGATATCCGCGCTTGTTTGAAATAAAAGTTATCAAAACGTATCAAATAATAATGATGGAACGTTGTTTCAAGTTTATGGTCGTGGCATCACCACCAGTTATAGGGGTCCCCAATAGGTTTTTGGGGATCCAGGTTTCCCTTATTTAAAGCTCGAGAATCGGGATCTTAAAGCAAAAACCGCATGGCAAGATTCAGGACTGAAAGTGTATGCGCGAGAGTTAGAATACCATAAATAACCCTCGGGATTACGGGATTGCACGAAATTTTGGGTCGAGATTACGGGATTGAAGAACCCTATGGGGACCCTCAATTATTAGGGACCTTTAGATTCGAGGACGAGAGCAAGATTTGACTTAAAGTTTTTTTTTCGCGCATTCTTAAAAATTATGCACCCCGGAAAGCTTCATTGTAATTCTTTTCACCAGAAAAGTTTGCAGGGTTATTCTTATTGAAGGAGGTTAAGCTCTTTCCCGATCGTATAATAATAAAACTTCTAACATTTGATCTAGAGCACTTCTTGTGTTCTATGTGGAGCTGCTTAGAATAGGCGATCCGAGTGAGGACATGGCTAAACCCAACATGTTTAAAGAAATTGATGTCAACGGAGATGGCATGATTTCACACTCAGAGGTAGGACGAAAAATACCGTCGACTGCCGCTTAACCCTTTAAACCCTAAGATCAAAGTTTGAATTGTCATTTGTTGCCTGTATTCGTTCCTACTGAGGTAGTGGGGAGAAGCTGGAAAAATATCGAGCTAATGCATCTTGTGTGATTATGTCCGTAATTCTCATGACCACTCTGTTTTACAAAGCATTAATAGTACGAGGAGAAAGTTGATGCTGATCACTCTTAGGGGCTTAAAGGGTTAAAATCCCTGGGCTTATACATCTTCGTAAGAGGTTTAAGGGCTTATATTCGAGGAGGCTTTCAACAGCACTAAAAAAAAACGCTTCTAAACAAGTCACCCGGGCAGTGATGATTCAACTACGTTTTGCATTTACTGTTTCTTAATTAGGCTTCAAAATGTCATAATAAATCAATTTCATTACAATACAATCTACATACGTACATGCATTTTTTTAATTGTGTTTTGAGGTAGAAGTACAATTATCGTTTAGTGTCGAGTCAGTAGTCTCTTGTCATTACTGTTGTCATCTATTACTAGTAATACCGTTAGGTTATCAGTAGGTCTCTAGTCACTGTTGTCAATTTTACTTTCTTTAGTTCTCTTGTTACTTTTGTATTTAGTTGTTTTTATTTCCTCTCATCATGACCCGCCTAGATTAGCTAAGCTACCCGCGGGCATTTTATAATTGTACAATCTAGCAGGGAGGTTATATCTGGGGGGCGGGGAGGGGGGGGGGCTTAAGCTTAAAATCGGATGTATTTTTTACTTTAAAGTAGATGGTAAGACTGGCATATACCTGGGGTGAAACTAATAAGGGGGAGGGGATATAAACTGCAGTTTACGCCAGTAAAGTTCACGTTGTGAACTTCGTGTCATAATCTCTTATCTTGGTCGACTCTTTTAGCTTCACTAACTTTCCCGCGAATTGATCTGACTAAAATTCAGTTGGGTGGTTGAGTATTAACAGCACCGATAAGACTATTATTATGGAGAATCTGATAGGTTGATCTCATATGCAGAGTTTATGGCCTGGTCAAAGGCTGGAAAATATTATTCCTTACCAATATCTCTCGCTAATTATACCTAGAACGAAATGAAATTTTCCCCGAATTTAAATCGTGATGAGTTCTTGTGCCTTAACGCATAATTATGGTCACGTAACATGTCACGTGAGTAACTGAAGCAATATTTATACTATTAAAATGTTGCATGTTGATAAGGTCTGTCTGTGTCCCAAATCTCGATTCGGTACCATCCTCTTCGCTAAATTTAGACGATAAATAATTTTTCCTTGGTAATCCTTTTACATCCAGGCCTTAAATTACTTGAGATTGAATTGTTCCCAGGTAATGCAGTTGTGGATAAAACTGCAAATAAAACTCACAAGAACGGTTTTGCGCTTGCCCTTGGCCCCGCTTTTAAAATGAGAGGAATGGATTAATGTTACTGTTTTATATCACAGGTTGCAGGTTACCTCAGACGAGAGGGACTTTCAAATGGTGAAGGGGATGAAAGCCATGACAACCTCATGCAGGAAATCTTCCATGAAGAAGACAAAAATAAAGATGGCTACATTTCACACGACGAATTCCAGGGATTAAAACATGGAGAGTTATAAAACAGTTTAACCACATTATTTTAATTTATAGGTACCTGTAATTTACATCAACAGAAAGAAAAACAAATTTGAATTAAACAGTAGGAATCATGTTTGTTTCATTTTCCTTAGGGCGCTTGAATTTTAAGGTAGTTTTTTTCCAGTTTTTGCACCTTATTTCTAAAGTCTGGAATTTTATTGCAATAGCTGAATGAATTTTAATGAAGATATCCGCGCTTGTTTGAAATAAAAGTTATCAAAACGTATCAAATAATAATGATGGAACGTTGTTTCAAGTTTATGGTCGTGGCATCACCACCAGTTATAGGGGTCCCCAATAGGTTTTTGGGGATCCAGGTTTCCCTTATTTAAAGCTCGAGAATCGGGATCTTAAAGCAAAAACCGCATGGCAAGATTCAGGACTGAAAGTGTATGCGCGAGAGTTAGAATACCATAAATAACCCTCGGGATTACGGGATTGCACGAAATTTTGGGTCGAGATTACGGGATTGAAGAACCCTATGGGGACCCTCAATTATTAGGGACCTTTAGATTCGAGGACGAGAGCAAGATTTGACTTAAAGTTTTTTTTTCGCGTATTCTTAAAAATTATGCACCCCGGAAAGCTTCATTGTAATTCTTTTCACCAGAAAAGTTTGCAGGGTTATTCTTATTGAAGGAGGTTAAGCTCTTTCCCGATCGTATAATAATAAAACTTCTAACATTTGACAACTACTTGTTTCCGCTACTACGGTATTTTTGGCCAACCTGTAGTGGAATGACGACGACTCTTTCCTGTCATCTCTATGACATTAGCCTGGTTGTTGGCATGCTGTTCCTATCTCTCCCCACCTGGGGATGTTTAGACATCTCTAATGAATTTGACCTGTTTGCTATGCTGTTGCTCTCTCTCCCCACATAGGGATGTATTTTCATCTCTGATGACATCGACCTGGTTGGTATGCTGTTGCTCCTTCTCTCCTCAGGTAGGAATGTTTCGACCGCGTCTTCAATGACATTGGCCTAGCTGCCACCTTGACTAGTTCAAGGCTTGTGAGAGGTTTTAAAGACTTTTGTTCTTGGGCCATCGGACTTAAATCAAAAATAAAACATAAACAGCACATTCTGAACTTTCACATTTTTCAACTGGACGTTTCCACTGCCAGTCAAACTTACTTTTTCCCTTTTTTGGTAAATTTTGTATAAATAGTCTCTACTCGTCATAATCAGCTGTAACGGTCACTTTAGATCACTTTTGGAAAAGTTTTTTGACTATATTATAGAGACTTTTGTTCTTGGGCCATCTAGTTTAATCAGAAATAAACACAAACAGCGGTGATAAACATTGTGAGCTTTCTCATTTTCTTCTTTGACGTTTCTTACGCTAGTCAACGTACATTTTCCAAAGTCAGCTATTGCTGACCATGTCAATGCCGCCGGGTCATTTTGAATTTTTAGTGTCTGGCAAATAAGATTACGATTGCAAGATAAAAGAAACATTGTTTATACAAGATCTTAAGCCAGCCTTTAATGTCAACATCAGCGGTGAAAAGCTGAGACTTTACTAGCTTTACTGTTAATTCTTCATCTCATTTCCAGACCCCTTAAAAATTTTGTATAAATAGTCTTGTCATAATCTGTAATGGTCACTTTAGATCAGTTTTGAAAATGCATGTTGACTAGCGTACGAAACGTCCAGTTTATATAAAAATGCAAAAGTTCATATGTTTATCACTGCTGTTTGTGTTTTATTTTTTATTAGACTAAGACGTTTACCTGTGGACAATGATAAATTGGCTATACTCGGTACAGATCATGGAACTGACTCAAAATTTGCCAAAAATTAATAAAGAACTCATCGTCCTTAGCATTTTAAGGTGTAAATATTGTGTTAATAAGTCACGTGATATGTCACGTGACCATTTTTCTAAAAATCTTAAATAACTGACAAATTGTTGGTGAGTTTAAGAGAAGAAATCAAGCATTTTTCTCATTCGCATATATTAAATATTTCTTAGGGCCTGTTTACATGGAGTGGGGGACCCCAGTCTAGTGGGGTTGGTTTCTTTTGTTTTCACGCTCTGGGGGACACAAAACAAAAGAAACTTACCCCACTAGACCGGGGTCCCCCACTCCATGTAAACAGGGTCTAACACTTCACGTTTTGGAATAACTATCCATTACACTTCAATAAAATATTATAGGGGAAAACATCATTTTAAATGCTTAAATTTACTCTTGAACTATTTAAAACTTTATTTTAAACTTCGCGTACGGTACATTCATTCCAAAAGTAGAAAGTAAAGAATATTTACCCTCTATCAGAAACACCAATTTTTTTTATCACACAAAGTCATTTCGCCACCAATTCGTCAATTTCCTTCATTCTGAATTCACGGCACAAGACACAAGACACAAGAAGACCTCAAGATTTACTTTTGGGGAGAAAATTATTTTGTTCTGGATATCCTAGCGAGAGGCATTGCCAATCAATCATATTTTCCGAACACACCTTTAACCCTGGCCTTAAACCGAGGTGCTCAGCAGTGATACACCCTCTCCATAACTCTGGATGTTTAGGCGTCCCGGGTGAAATTGGCCTGGTCTGCCCGCTCAGGTTGGATTTACAAGTGACAGCAATATTCGATCGGAAAATCATTTCAAACTTATTCAGCTTCATTGTGGCTTTTCAGTGTCATTAATTCGATGAATGCGACCCGAAATTGTCTTAACCTTATACAATAAATAAACGGATTCATAAAAGAGTTAAAAGCCGCTAAACTAAGAACAGCCATAAAAATGGATCTCAGTGAACGCAAGCTAACAATGCTTTTCATTGGCTCCACGAGCCTTAGGAGAATAATATACGGTAAGTAACTTATTATTATTATTAGAATAATAATCGTCACTGTTAATTTGAAAGCTCGCCTTTGAGATAAAAAGTTTTCTCTGCTCGCTACATCGACTTGCTGAGCTGCTATTTGCTTTTCATGACGATGCACCTGACGATAAACTATCACGTTGCAGATTACAGTGATTGTAATAAGTGAAACTATGACAGGATGCTTAATATATCTAACCAGTTCCTCGTCAATGAGCAACATAATGTGCATGATTGTGGTCAATGTCCATGCAAGAGCTGTGGCAATCAGAAAACGAGTCTTGGTGACGATTTCAATGTAGGCATAGGGACGCATGATAGCGATGTACCGATCCACAGTCATTAGGAACAGGTGAACAAAAGAAGAGAAGCAAAAGAAGCTGATGAAAAATCCTGTGGCACTTTATACTGAGCATACACCGGCTGTGGTCTTCCCTTGAATGAGGTTCACCATCAAAGTAATAAGAAGAGGCTGGACCACTAATCCGACCATCGTGTCAGTCGAGGCTAAGCAAGCCAATGTTATGTTAGACATGCTCTGCAGGCGTGGTTTAGTCTTCACAGCGATCATCACCAACAGATTCAACAAAATTGTAAAAGGGCAAGTCGTGGCGTGGATTACGATCAAAGCAACGAGAACAGCGTAGGCTAAATCTGACAAATGCTCTGGCTTTCCACCAATTAAACTGTAGACAACACAGTTCACAGGGAAGTCGTTTTGAATCTGGTGACTCGAGTCCATCTTCTCTTCTCTACTCCGTCTTGGACCTGTTAACCCTAAGAAATATAGTCTTTTTCTGCTTTTTGTTTTGGCCAAATGTTAAATTTTTTAAAAGTTTCCTGTGAACGAAATTTAAGATTGCCTATGATATTTTACATTACAAGTAAACCGAAAGAGACTAAAAATGGAAAAATAATTTATTTGCCTCTTCAAAATAAAGCGAAAAGAACCTTTCGGCTCTTTTCCAGACCTTTCTATTTCAAATAGGTTTAGACAGCAGCATTAGCTGACTGAAGCACTAATTCAGTAGCAGTAATTCAGGGAGGATAAAATTCAAATCATTAACAAGTGACAAACGTTTTATTTTCTCATGATTTTTCGTATTTGCATCTTACATAATCCATTTTCCCCTGTTAAACAAAGCAACAAGGATAATTTTGCTTTTTCCGGACCTTTTTATTTCAAAACAGGGTTAAGCAGGGTTAATATAACTAAAACAACGATTATCATTAATTCATGGGGGATAAAATTCAAACATGATTAAATGTGACAAATGCAATACTTTCTAATAATTGTTCGTGTTTCCATTCCATTTACCACTCAAAAGAACATGTTTCGAGTATTTTCCTCAAATTTCCTCTAAGATGAAAAACTTCAGTCTAGCGGATAACGTGGAAGCATTTTCACAACTGTAATAACGTTGTATTGTGACGTCTTTACAAAACAGGTATCCCAAGCTCACTCGTCACAATTGTTGTTGCACAATGTCGTAAATTATAAGAGTTTTATGGAAGAAATACAACAGTATGATTAAAACGTGCTAGAAATACTCGTCAAAAAAGTCCACGCATTAAATGAAATGGGGAGGCAAGCTAAGGGAAGCTGGATGATTGTTATAGTTTAACCCTTATTTTGTGATCACTAAAATTACCGTTTATAATAGATTTTCATTGGTGAGTTTGGTGTCCTGTGTTTACAGGGGAAAGATTTCATTTAATAGGCGAATAGTAAAATAAGTGAGGAGACAAATCTATCAAAATACTTAGAAGCGCTAATTAAAAAGTCCTAAAAGTGAAATCTATTTTAAGTTTCTACTCAGAAAAAAATTATTTCTGTCCATTTACACAAAAATCTCATATATATCGAGTACGACCAAACAAAAACAGACACGAAACTTATTCCAGTATGCATATCAAAGCGAGCGAAAAATTAAAACGAAGAAAGATATCAATTAAAAGGAAATCCCTTTAAGTTGGTGAACGTCATTAATTTTGAAAAAAAAAAATTATTAAGAAATGATCAGTCTGAACAGGTGCTATTTAAATCAAATTCTGGAATAATATGGAGTTTCCACATTTATTTTACCTTTAAATTTAACAGTTATTTTGGGATATTTTCCATAGCCATAAAACTAAACTGATTTTGCGATTAGTAAGTAAAGTTCTTTCATTTTAAAAAACATGCTGAAAATATTAATTGTGGCAATGAAGACAAAAAATTGAGTCAAGTGAAAAACTGTTTCGTTGCAAAGCTTTAAAAAGAGGCGTACATCATATGCGGACGAAAAGAGAAAAGTAAATGAACTTTCATGGCACGGTTTTCATTCATGAGTTTTGGGTCCCTATGTTCACAACTGAGATATTTCATTTAATAGGCGAATAGTAAAATTATATGTCTTGAAAATCAACCCATTCGAATTCACTTTCTTTTAAAGCAATGACTAAAAGGGGAACAGATAAATCAAAATATTTAGAAGTGATCTCTGTATTAGTGAAGAGAATTACTTTAAAAGTACCAAAGAGCCCCAAAGTTGAGAGGTGTTTTAAGGTTTACTTTTGAAAGAAAGTAGTTTACACAAAAATCACATATGTTCTGATGTATCGCGTACGATCAAACAGAAATATATTAATAGACACGAAACTTATTAATGCATAAGAGAGATGGAGCGAAAATTTAGAATTCAGAATTTAGTTAAGCAGGAAATCCTTTAAACAGGCACACGTCATTTGAAAACAAAACCTTTTGAGAAATGATCGACCAGAACAGGTGCTATTCCAGAAAAGCAAACCTTAGTTGGGGAAATTATAGTGCTGCAGATATTTACCACTTAATTTAATCGCTACTTTGGGATATTGTCCATANGTGATCTCTGTATTAGTGAAGAGAATTACTTTAAAAGTACCAAAGAGCCCCAAAGTTGAGAGGTGTTTTAAGGTTTACTTTTGAAAGAAAGTAGTTTACACAAAAATCACATATGTTCTGATGTATCGCGTACGATCAAACAGAAATATATTAATAGACACGAAACTTATTAATGCATAAGAGAGATGGAGCGAAAATTTAGAATTCAGAATTTAGTTAAGCAGGAAATCCTTTAAACAGGCACACGTCATTTGAAAACAAAACCTTTTGAGAAATGATCGACCAGAACAGGTGCTATTCCAGAAAAGCAAACCTTAGTTGGGGAAATTATAGTGCTGCAGATATTTACCACTTAATTTAATCGCTACTTTGGGATATTGTCCATAGCCAAACAACTTAGACCCTTTTTGCGATTGGAGGGTAAAGTTATTTTATTTATTTTATTCCATTTACTTTTTTTAAACGGTGAAGATAACTTCGCAATAAGAGCAAACAAGGGTATTGGGTCATTTGAAAGATGTTTTATTTGCGTACGTCATTACGCGGACGAAAGTAGAAAAGAAAATCAACTTTCACGACACGGTTTTCATGAGAGAGTTTTTTGTTCATGTGTTTACAAGCGGAATATTTTTTAATAAGCGAATGATGATATAAGTGCACAAAATAAACCCATTCGAATTCATTTTCTTTCAGTGCAATGACTAGAAGGGGACAGATATATCAAAATACTTCTGTAGGAGAGAATTACGTTAAAAGTACCAGAGTGTTTTAAAGTTAACGTCGGAAAAAAAGTAGTTCTGTATCTTTCCACAAATATTTCATATATATCGCGTACGATCAAACAAAAATAGACATGAAAGTTATGCATAAAGATAGAAAAATTAAAATCAAGAAACAATTCAGTTAAGCAGCAAATTCCTTTAAAAAGGCGAACGTCATTTGAAAACGAAAACCTTTTGGGAAATGATCGATCAGAACAGGTGCTATTCCCGCATAGCAAACCCAGCTTGTTATGGAACAAAATTTGGGTTTAAGATATTGCTACAGATATTTACTTTGCCGTTTAATTTAATCGCTACTTTAGGATATTGTCTATAGCTTTATGGTACTCAAGGCTGTCGTCCAGACTCATCGATGATTGCAGGGAATCGATTCGCCGATTCCTTATAATTATAAATATACCCATAAATAGAAGCTGTTTGCATTTCTGATAGTTGTATTGATTGAAAAAATGTTATGCATACTCTTAAATGTATTAAAAAACCGTAAAGTTAAGATAAAAGGAATCCAAATATCGTCCAAGTATATCAACACTTGTAAAGGAGATTCCGCTCGGCCACCCATCCAAGTATTTTCTGCGCCCGACAGCGCTTAACTTTGAAGAACGAAGAAGACGTCTGCAGTCACAGGAGAAGCAAAAATCCCGCTCAAACTTCTACGATACAGCATGATTAAGCGGCACTGAAATTAAAAGGAACTCAGAAAAAGTATTGTAACTCAGTACAAGTATCAGCTGGGTCACGATACGTCTTTCTGTTTTACTTCACGTTGTAAGACTAAATTTCAGAAAAAAAGCGAGGTAAAATTGTCATGAATTGGTGCATTTATATTTCACATTACAGACCAGCTACAACTACATAAATATCATGCGAGAACAATAAAACGAAGACCTCGTTCAAGCTACTTTTTAATCACAGGGAGTATTAGGAACGTATAAACGAGGTATACATCTGCAAGATATTATATACTTTGATTATCTATATTAACAGCGAAAATCTCGCTATTGTTGTCACTCGACAGAAATTCTGATTTCTTCATGACATATTTTTTGTACAAATCGTTAATTGTCAATTAATGCGTTAATTTTGTCGGCGTCTCTAATGACATTGGCCTTGTTTGGTACGATGCTCCTCTCTCTCCCCACCTACTGATAATTAGACCTCCCATAAAATGGTCTGGTTGGTGAGCTGTTCCTCTCTCTCCCCGCCTTGGGATGTTTCGAAGTATCTGATGACATTAGCCTGGTTTGCATGCTGTTGCCCTCTCTCCCCACCCAGGGGTATTTCGACGCCTCTGATGGCATTGGCCTGGTTAGTATTCTGTTCGCTTCTCTCTCCTCTCAGGTTGAATTCAAAATTAGCAACGATTGTTCCCAAGATCTTTCTTTAAAATTCGTCAGCCTCATTGTGGTTTTTCCTTATCAGTAATTCAATGAATACGACCCGAAACTGTCTTAACCTTATACAATAAATAAACGGATTAACAAGAGAGTTAAAGGCCGCTAAACTACCAACAACCATAAAAATGGAAGTCAACGTACCCAAGCTTACGACGTTTTTCAGGGGCTCCTTGAACCTTACGAAAATAGTTCCAGGAAAATAACTTATAACTGTTAGCGTAATAATCATTAATGTTAATTTAAAAGCTCGCTTGTGAGATAAAATTTTTTCTTTGGTCGCCATATCGACTTGCTGGGCTGCTATTTGCTTCTCTTGGCGATGAGCCTCACGATAAACTATTATGTTGCAGAAAACAACGACTGCAATAAGTGAAATTACGACAGCAGTGATAATAGCTCTTACCATTTCCACGTCAATAAGCAACACGGCGGTGTTTATAATTAAAGTCAGGGTCCATGCAAGAGCTGTGGCTATCAGTACACGGCGTTTGGTCACAGTTTGAATATAAATATAAGGACGCATGATGGCGATGTACCGATCCACTGATATTAAAGACAAGTGAACAATGGAAGACAAGCAAAATAAGGAGTTGAACAATTTTGAGGCAATTTGCATTGAACATGCACTGGCTGTGGTTTCTCCTTGTATGATATTCCATATCTGAGCAATAAAAAGAGGCTGGACAACTAATCCGACCATCACGTCAGTCAAGGCTAGGCAAGCCAATGCCATGTTGGACATGCTCTGCAGCCGTGCTTTAGTCTTCACAGCGATCATCACCAACAGATTCAACACAATGGTAAAAGGGCAAGTCGTGGTGTGGATTACGATCAAGGCAACGAGAACAGCATAGGATAAATCGGACAAATGATCTGGCTTACCACCAATGAAACTGTAGAGCACACAGTTCCCGGGGAACTCGTTTTGAATCTGGTGACTAGAGTTCATATTTTCGGCCGGGCTTCTGCTCCGTCTTGGACGTATTAATTTTAGGAAATGTCGTCTCATTCTGACTGATTTAAGTTTTGTTTGTAGTCAAACTTTGACATTTTCGAGAGTCATTCTTGTGAACAAAATTTAATCTCGCATATGCTCAAAAACATTTTTAATACATGTGTAACAATATTATTTTTTGTTCGGGTCTCTTTTTACATCACAAGTAAAACCGAAAGAGATTAAAGAGAGAAAAAAGAATTCATTTTCCTCTAGTCTGTAAAAAAAAGCGAAAAGGATATTTTTCCTTTTTTAATATCTAGACCGATATATTTCAACTGAAAGGTTTAGACAGCCGCAAGCTGATTGAAGTACTGATTGGCACTAGTTCATGGGAGATAAAAACAAACTGAATTATTAACATGAGACAAACGTATTATTTTCTTATGATTTTTCAGTAACTGTGTTTCTATCGTAGTCTTGTTTGCTACTCGAAAGAAAACGTTTCGAGTATTTGAATTCCCTCTAAGAAGAGAAACTTTAGGGTGAACAAGTAACGAGGAAACGTTTTCGATATTAGTAACGGCTTTATGTTGTTCGATATGACAGTGTTTACGAAACAAGGACCCCAAGCTCTCTCGTCACAATCGTTGCTTATAATAGCTTGTATGGAACGAATATAACAGTATGTCTAAAAACAACTTACTGGTAATTTCTTTAAACCGAAAAAAAGCAAAGACCGCACATAAAAAATGAAACGTGGAGACAAGGAGAGCTGGATTTTTGTCAAATTTATGCCTAATTTTATGATCGCTAAAATTTTCGTTTAATTACGATAGATTTTCACTCATGATGAAGTTTGGGGTTACTTTGTTTACAGGTTTCATTTAATGTGCGAATAATAAAAGTTATCCTTAAATAAACCCATTCTAACTCATTTTCTTTGTAGGCAATGACTAGTAGGGGACAGATATATCAAAATACTTCCAGGTGACTTCTGTATGAGGGGAAGTACGTTCAAAGTACTAAAAAGTACTAAAAAGAAATATGTTTGAAGGTTGAAGTCAGAAAAAAGTAGTTTTGTCTTATATATCGCGTATGACCAAACAAAAAAATAAACACCAAACTTATTGATGCATAAAGAGTGAGCGGAAAATGTAAACGAAGAAATAATTTATTTAAGCTGGAAATACCTTTAAAGAGACGAATATCATTTGCTTAAAACCCACAACCAACCTGAAAACAAAAACGTTTGGGAAATGATCGGTCAGAACAGGTGTCTGAAATTTTGGGATAATATTGTGTTAGTACATTGATTATCTTTAAATTCAGTGGTTATTTCACATAGCAGTATAGCCGTACAATGAAACTGTTTTTGCGACTGATAAGTGAAGGTCTTTATTTTTTTAAAAAACGCCGTTAATCATTGTTGGATAAAACAAGTTACACATGAGGAACATTACATGACGTTAATCTTTGACCCCTTAGTAGCTTGTTAACTCTCAGATACAGATAATTTTGACGTCCTTGAAATTTCTAACAAAGAACAAAGCAAACATTTAAAGACATGGTCCGAACTCGTAATTTTTACGTCAAATGATTCCTAAGGGGAAGTAGGATGTGACAAAACATTATTCAAACCGTCCCCAACAATAATGTGGCAATCAGAGCAAAAAATTGAGTGAAGTAAAAGGAAAAACGTTTTGTTTGCAAAACGTTCAAGAGAAGCGTACGTCATTACGCGGACGAAAGTAGAAATGGAAATCAACTTTCACGATACGGTTTTCATTCCGGAGTTTTTTGTTCCTGTGTTTACAAGCGGAATATTTTTTAATAAGCTAGCGAATAGTAAAATAAGTCCTCAAAATAAAACCATTCGAATTCATTTTCTTTCAATGCACTGACTAGAATATATCAACATACTTAGAAGTGACTTCTCTAGAAGAGAATTAAGTTAAAAGTACCATAAAATTGAATATGTTTTGACGTCTGAAAAAAGTAGTTCTGTATCTTTACACAAATATTTCATATATATCGCGCACGATATTACAAAAATAGACATGACACTTATTAATGCATAAAGATGGAGAAATTAAAACCAAGAAACAATTCAGTTTAGCAGCAAATTCCTTTAAAAAGGCGAACGTCATTTCAAAACGGAAACCTTTTGGGAAATGATCAACCAGAACAGGTGCTATTTCAGCATAGCAAACCCAGCTTGTTATAACACAAAATTTTGGGATAATATATTGTTGCAGATATTTACTTTGCCTTTTAATTTAATCGCTACTTTAGGATATTGCATAGCCAAACGAAAAAAAAGTCAAACGTTTTTGCAATTATTTTTGCATATTTTTCAAATGCTGAAGATAACTTTGCAATAAAAGAGCAGAGAAGAGTATTGAGTCAACTGAAAGATGTTTGATTTGCAAAGCCACTCCTAAATGTGCGGTATGTCAAATGGGTGTTGCTGAAACGAGGATTGGGGAATGGGGAATGGGGATTCGCAAATTGAAAATGTGAAATCGTGGTCAGTGTTCATACCATAATACTTATCTCTCTGATTCAGTTGTTTAAATCGAAGCAACGCCTCAACGGCGTAATGAGGTTGAATCATTATTATTTTCCTTTTTTTTCAAGCGCCTGCCTTTTTTAAAATTGAATAATTCGAAAAAATACTTTATGGTACTTATCAGAAGCATATATGATTGCATATATGCTTCTGTACTTATTAATAAGGCCGTCGTCCAGACTCATCACCGATTCGCCGAATCCTCATAACATACACCCATGAATAAAAGCCGTTTGCATTTCTGATATTTGTATTGTTTGAAAACATATTATGCCTTTTCTTTGTTATGTTAAAAAATCGTAAAGTTCAGATCAAAGAATCCAAAAATCGTTAAAATATCAACACAGGTAAAGAAGATTCCACTCGGTTACCCATCCAAGTACTTTCCGCGCCCGACAGCTCTTAACTTTGAAAAATGAACACGTCTGCACTAACAGAAGAAGCAAAAAAAATATCTCAAGCTACTATTATACAGCATGATTTCACCAGTACAGAAATTAAAAGTAACATAGTGTTAACTTTAAAGAACTCAGTGAAAAGCGTACTTGATTACATTATTAATCCATTTCGTGCCGTTTTAAAGACGTCTTGTTCAAAGAAGCCCCTATGTTACGCCGTTTTTCTTGCCATTGTATTAACTGTCCCATAAATTAGTCCCTCTTAGCTCCTCTTTCTTGTTCGTAGTGTGCTACATAGCCGTTCTTTGTGTCGTCAAGCAACGCGAGCGTTGCGTGACGACGCAAAAAACAAACGGGTGTGTAACAGACTTTCTTGTTAGAGGAAGGAAATAGGCTTCTTCGAAGCCGTTTCGGGATGTCACGCAATGGTGGTTGTTGTTGGCTCGGCCGCGGCAGTCGTTGTCGCATGGGAGCTTAAGCAACGAAGACGGCGACGGCAACGAGAACGGCAATAAACCAATAGGTTTAGATTGGAAAAATATCAACCTTGCACGCGTATTGCGGTTTTTTGTACATTCCTTTGCCGTCGTTGCACGACTACGACGTGAAAATGCGTATGTAATTAGTTCTCGTTTTGTCGAGGACGGGAACACAAAACAACAATTTTAAATTTCTTTTTCTTTTCCTGAACTTTGATACAACTTTTAAGTTTTCAACTCCAAAAAAATTTGCCAACATTTGACGAATTAAACCAGATGGACTAAGCGCCATAAAGTTTGAGGCAGCGCGAATTCACTTTTTAAGTGACGTTTTCGTAGCCGTCGCTGCGTCGTTGCTTAAGCTCTCTATTACAGGACCACGACGGCCCCAGCCAAAGCGTTACTGGGAGAGCGTTGTGTGACATCCCAAAAACGACTGCGAAGGAGACTTGGAAAGCGGAGGAAGAGGACAAAGGAGCAATTCGTACGGACTTTCCCACATGCAATTCCTTTTTGACAAGTGTACGTACGTGTGTCCAGGAGAGACTGCTAAAGGGTTTGCCCCGAATAGGTTGCAGCTGAAGGAGCGTGCACTTCTTTTTGCTCGGTTCCCACCATCCTTTTAATTTCTTGACATGTTTTAGATTTTTTTCTTCCTTTGCCGCTATAACTTAAGTTTTCAAATGACAAACCTTTCTCTTTCTGTCCATGCCCCAAGATATTCTCAGAGTAATTTTAACCCACTCTGTTCTCCGGGGTCCATCCCCTTATTTGTTATATACCATTTTTGACAGAAAATTTTCGTATATCTTCTTTTAACAAATGGTACCCCTTTCACAGACCTAGTTTAGAACGGTGGATTCCTTTTTACTGCTGTAAATACACTGTCTTCTAACTATAAATAAATCACTACACAATGACCTTAATTCACAAGCATGTTAAAGCATCACCCAAAGCCTAATTTTTATAAAAGCTGCAAAGAATCACGACTTTAAGAGAATTTACGTAAAAAAAAGATGAATCTTGGTAATAGCATAAAACTTGACATCCTTAAGTCAGTGTTCTGCGTAAAAGGGGAATTTTTGGTGAGAGAGGAATAATCTTTTCTGAGTAAAATCCAACGTAGTTGTTAAAAATATCGAGAATAAAAAATTTTTAGGTACTTGAAGCTGGACTTTAATCCCGTTTTGCCGCCAAAAAGCCGGCGCTTTTCGCTACTAGTGGGCTATAACATATTAGCCTAGTAGTAGCTCAACCAATCAGAACGCAGCATTGATAATAGATCACTAGTTAGATTTTACTAAATATATATATAAGAGACACAGTAACAATTACACAAAGTTTATTTTTAGCCTTCATCGTGTCGCGAACTCGTAAATGACTCAAAAGAAGCTG